TCCATGATGGGGAGGTGCCTCATTAAAAACCATTACTAGGAAAAAACCCAGTGGGAAAAAATCCTAATAAAGGGAAAAAGAGTACACCTAGCGCCCCCAACATGAAACAAGGAAGGTAAGCTCCCTCCGACATAATCAATTTTGTCTAGCTCAGCTCCTCTTCATCTGACTCAGCTTTCGTTCCTGCTCATGTGTGATATTTTCTGCTCATCTAGAAACTCTGACCTCTCAGTCCCCCAGTCCCCCACTCTTTGAGGCGAGTGGATTCGAGGTGAAAATGAGTAAAGTCATCTTCGTACCTACACATTTAGCATGCATATAAATTTTTTCTTGGGGTTTATGTTTCCTATCGAGAGTTCATCACTTGAAAAAGTGGAAATGTAAATTGCTAATGTAATGATAAAATACATAATAGAGTGGACATGTGAGCCATTCGTACGCAACGGTCGCCACTCTTGGAATGACTAAGACCGGTCTTTGTGCCCAACTTGGTCGGAGCTTTGTGCCTGACTTGGTCAGGGCTTTGTGCCTGAGGAGTCAGGGCTTTGAATCCTAGTGATGGGTCTCAAGCCACACTCTACTAGGCATTTGATCATAATTGTGTGATAGTGTGACATTTAACCATCAACAAAAATATTGATTAAAATAAATATAAATAATATTAAAATTAAAGATACTTATCTTTTTGAAGTGGGCTGAAATATATTGGGCTGAGAATTGGGCCTGTTGCAATATTCGATTGGGGCAGACATGACCTGGCCCACTGCTTCCCTCTTGACCCAACTTTTAATAGTTGACTGAGTCAACAGAAGTCCATCCCCCAGACCCTTCTTCAAAGGATGCGGGCAGGTCATTCGGTGGAACCACTCATGTGCATCGCGGCCGCAAGAAAAGGAGGGGAGCCGGATCTGGTTGCAGCTGACCGCCAGTAACCTACGGCCGCTGCCAACACGAGTGGAAGGCGATGTCGTTGTGTCCGGCCGGAGAAGGGAGGCCCAGACAGGTCCTCTTCCATATTCGTCGCCAGTACTGGGTTTTGAAGAGGTCTGGTTCCGATTGCAGGCCCTCCTTGCGGCGTAGCTCGAACGTGGGGAATCCTTCACTGACGGGTTCCTTGAACTGCGTCAATGGCCAGAATTCTAGTCTTCCGCAGTGACGGCCCACGCTCTCTTCACGGTTGGTTGTAGTTCGTTAGCAGAGCTTCTCACTGGCCATTAATGGCAGATACGGTTCGTGAAACCATAGAAAGACAACGAGTTGCGAAGGAGTTGTATGAACGAGCTAAAAGCGACAAGAGGCGGTGCTAGTTCGGAGGAGGAGCGAGCTGCTTGTCGCTGGACTCTGAGTCGCATCTGGCCCCTCCGAACGCGTGCTTCTCTGGTTCAACGTTTAGATCTGGCCGGGATAGCTCCAGCCTCCAGATCTTGATAATTCCAGTTTAGATCTGGACCGTCCTTGTACGCCGATGTCCGATGGAGGAGCTGCGAAGCTTGTTATTTTCCAGATCCCGAAGTTTGGGGGTTCCGATACAGAAACTACACCCTGCAGGCCACGACGGCCGGCGAGATCCGTGGTGACGGTGGCTAGCCGGCGACAGGGGGTGCTAGACCAGAAGTGGGGCGGCTGACTGGGACGTCACTGCAGGATGACGTTGCTCCGACCATATGCAAAATCCATATTTCCCGTTCCTTTCTTGTTGTTTTTTTTTGCAGAATGTTTTTTTTGGTGGATTTTGTTTTGTTTTGGGAGGTTTTCTCACTTGATTGTGTTCAAACCTCTCAACGAGAGTACCATTGTTGGATAATCGATACCCATATTGTATGAAAAGGAGATTTGAACAAGAATGTAGTAGGGAAATGGGGAAGAAGAAGATGAATAGTGTATAGAATGAATATTGGTTTTTTGAGTTATCTTTACAAGCCTTACATAAGGGAGTATATATAGGGAAAATCCAGGTCTGGGTCTATAATATAGGCCTGACAGACCCAGTTACATAAATGGACTAATAGTATAAAAAGCTAATGTAGAATATCTGAATAATAATAATGTACAATAATAAGAATCTGCTATTAGTATCCAGGCCCAGTAGTCGGCATACCGGGGGTCGGAGTCCATATAATCCATCATCACCGTTATGACTTTAGCGGATTAGGATGCATGTAAATGCATGTAAATGGTCCATTAACGGATCATTATTGTAATTGGGTCTCCCAGGGCCAAGATCTGGGAGCCCAACCCGTATTCCCTCTATAAAAACCCCCCTTGGGGATGTTGTGAGGAGTTCACAATTCATTTATTGCAAGTTGTCTCTCTCTATATTTTCGCTCTCTCTTCTCTCTAGCACTTCGGCTTAATTGGGAAGCTATCATAACACACACACTAATATGTAAATTGATTAGTTATAACACTTCAAATAAAAAATACAAACTAATATACACACACATAATAATACATAGAGTTAGTTGTATTTCTTCAATTAAAAACATACACACTAATACATACCTATTGTATAAGCGATATTGATAGGAATAGTGAGATAACGTAAAACTAATATCCATTTTGGTCGTTTATGCATACTGATAAAGTGTGTATTAGGTTTGGTAGGCGAAGCATAATATTTATTATTATTATTATTATTATTATTATTATAATTAATATTATTATATCATTATCGTATATAATATGTTGTTATACTCTCAGTAGTCCAAGAGAAAACGACACAGAGTGTGGAGTTATACGTCTATTGGATACTTTATATGATACTTTATTGGATAAAAATATTAATTTTCTATGAGAAATCTTGACGTTTTTTTAAAAGCTAAGATACACGGAGTATTTCGCTTTTAAATTTGCGCAATTTGCCTTACATTTCATTTACAGGTCTTGTTATATGACAAAGTTTATAATGGATCCGAGTCGGAGCGTAATGTTCCAAACTCGAACCTGCTAAGTTAAAAATAGATCCGGATTCAACCCGTTTATCCAGCGGGTCTAAAAATTTGGACCCGAATCCATATCCAACGGGTCTTGACAGACCTTAATTTTTTTCATTGTCTTTGCCGTTGTTTAGAGAATGAATCATTACGGAGCATTCTCAACACTTCTAATACAAAATTATGTAGTGTTATTGCCTTCCAAATGGAACACACTAAATAAAATTGAATGACTCCTGATCGATAAACACAGGTTACACAACATACACATGAGGTTTAGTATTCCAAAATAGGACTACTACATTTTTCTTTCAAAAATATGAGGTGTTACTGACATGTATGAAAAATATTGTCATGATTGAAAAATATTGTAATTAATTATAATAAATAATATCATGTTAAAGGCACTGTGCTACAACTATTTGACAGTCACGCCTACAACACGACTAAATATTGTCATGTTAGTCCTCTCCCGGGAATAAAACCATAATAGTCATATTTTGAAATTCTAAACTCTATTTACTCCTATTTTGAGAATCTCAGCATAGAAATTTAAATATTTTCAAAATAGGAAATTTTTCAGGATTGTAGAGAACACCCCTGCAACTACTGCTGCCATTGTTGTTCAGCCCACTATCCGCCAGTTGCCGGAGCTTCGAAGACCTTCGCCAACAACCAGGTTCCGTCGCCGGAGCTCCGACAATGCAAAAAAAAAATCCATATTTTTTTTCACAAGCTGCCTGACACGGTAGCCGGTCGTAGGAACTCCGTCATCGGTTGCCGCCGCCGCCAATGATCTGTCTCAGTTGTCTATATACTCAGACATGATGTGCGTATAGAAGTTCCAAAAAGAGAGACCGGACTCAGGCGAGGTTCAATCAGGCTCTGTTCTGTAACAATGGGGATTACAAAAATGAATTTATCTTATACTACCTCCGTACCAATGAACTTTGCACTTTTTTGAATTGAGTAAAAAAAAATAGTAACAATTGTGTTGTTGACCTTTGTGCAGAGAAGAAAGAAATGAACAGAACCACATAATAATTACTTTAATTGAAAAATGACAAAATAAATGAGACAACTAAAAAGGAAAATTTAGACAATCCAGTGGAACGAATAGAATACTGCATGTTATGGTATACAAAGTATATAGTAAGGTTGTTTTTACTTGGACTGTAATTCGTCCCAGACCATACCAGACCAGACCAAACCAAAACAGATCGATCAGACCAGACCAGACTAAAACAGATCAGACCAGACCATACCATACAATATATTATTATTATTATTGTTGTTGTTGTTGTTGTTGTTGTTATTATTATTATTATTATTATTATTATTATTATTATTATTACTATTATTATTATTATTACTATTATTATTGGTATTGTTATTATTGGTATTGTTATTATTATTGTTCTTATTATTATTATTGTTATTGTTATTATTATTATTATTATTATTATTATTATTATTATCATCATCATCATCATCATCATCATCATCATCATCATCATCATTAGTACTATTACTACTATTACTATTATTATTACTACTACTACTACTACTACTACTACTACTATTATTATTAGTAGTAGTAGTATTGTTATTGTTGTTAATATTAATACTTGTACTATTTTATTATTGTTCTGTATTTGTATGATCTGCTTCGGTCTGGGCTTGAAATTAATTCAATTAAAACGATTACAATTTTCGATAATTTGGAAGGAATATTATTATTTTTAATTATAAATGAATAAAATATAATTATTTATGGATTATAATATATATATATATATATATATAATAATATTTTATGCAAAAAATATAAAAACTAAAATTTCAGACCAGATCAGACCAGACTAGATCAAAACAGACCAGATCAGAACAGACCAGATTAAAATAGACCAGACCAGCAAATTACAGTTCAAGTAAAAACATGTTAAATGGGGCAATGTATAGAATTTCCCTTACCTTAAATGCATAATTTTGTTCAGACCATTTCAAGTAACCCACTATATGGCCCAATAAACAAGCCAACAGTGGCAACATATAAACTGACCCACCCAATATATCCTATAACTCAGCTTGCGTGCCACCCCTCTGTGAAATCACCGATATCAATTCCTTCGATCTACTATTATCGCCACCCTCCTCCGATCCCACACCCGCAGAGATTTTATACCCGTTTCCATGGATAATACCCCGCCAGCCTCTTCATGGCTAACTAGATAAACCGATCTCATCTACTATTGAATCAGGTTCGTCGATCTACAACAGAAAGACGCAAAGCACGGAAGATCTTCCATCGGTTCAGTAGCGAATTCTCCAGGTCGGTAGGTTTGCATGTGAATTTATTCGTTAAGTGATTTCATTCTATCCTAAAACCCAAAGGTTTGGTACTGATTTCATTCTCCATTCTTCTTGATACCCAGCAAGGATTCTTCCTCACGAACACCTTGACGGCCATTAAAGTTGTGTTTTAATTTTTTAAGAAAATGTGTTTCTTGTTTTTCCTAATCTGTATGAAAATCGTTAGATTAAATTAATTTTTTTTGGTTTTTATTGCTATAAGTAACAATTTTGGGTAACGATCACTGTGCTGGAGCTCTAAATCTGGTTCAAATAGATTGTTATTCCTTAACATTCCCTTCTTACTTTACACATGTGAACTAACTATGTTTCCTTATAATTAAATCTGGTTTTCCTTCAATTAAGAGCAATAGTAACTGACTAATATGACTCGTGGTTTAAATCAAAACAATATTGAACCCCCTAAATTTAATGTTTTCTATCTTCATCTCACTCAAACATACTTCCTCCGTCTTAAATAAATGCAACGGTCAACATTTCACACTTGCCGAGACACAATTTTGATCATTAATATAAATGATTTTGTATTAGTAAAAAAATTAAAAAAATTAGATTATGAAAATTCACAATGAGACAAGTTTAACAATATTTTTTTCATAAAATAATATTATTACATTAATAAATAAAATGTACTCAAAGTAGAACATGTGAATAGTGTAAAAGTCAAAGTGTTGCATTTATTTAAAAACGGAGGTAGTATATGGCAGTTGTTGAATTTTTATCGCCCTAAATCAAACACTGTTAATCTTGACATCCTATTCTCACTATAAATGCATTTCAAGCAAATTAACTGTTTTACCATAACCGTTGAAAACACTAACATAATTGCTATATATGGAGTATGATTTTTCTATGATTAAGGAGTTAACCTATCTAACTAATTTAACTCTCCTTACTGTACACACATGATCTAACTATATGTGGAAATAGTTTTAAAATCTTGCTGTAATCTAATTTGGAAATTCAGCCCACGTAAACTATATTTTCTAAGGGAAAACTATCAAATATGCCCTCGTACTATAGTGAAAATGGCGATTAGACCCTCGTACTCCACAAACACCCAATTGAACTCCTGAACTCTTAAAAGTCGATCATTTTAGCATTTTAGCAAGTAAACTTAAAGTTCCCGGTTAAATAGCCCACATGGCAGCCTACGTGGATTTCTTTTTCTTTTCTCTTTTTTTTTCTCCTTTCTTTTTCTCTTTCTCTTTTCCTCTTTCTTTCTTCTCTTCTGCGCAGGCCCTTTGCAAACCTCTTCCCAGCAGGCAGCAGCATTGCCGGCCACCTTCTTTGTGCCACTGGCATCTAAACTCACTGCCCCGCTCCACTGCCCAACCAGTGACCACCAACCCTGCACCACTCCAATTAGCCTACCCGCGCGCCGTCTCCGGCGGAATCTCTTAGCCGACGGATTTCACCGGTCTACTGCAATTAGCCACCGGACATCGTTGCACTCAGCCGCTGCCCCTTCACTTAGTTAGACGCTGCCCTTCACTGTCGTCAGCCGCCGCCCTTTACTCCAGTTAGGCACTTAGCCGGCGCCTTTCACTCCTGGAATCCGGCGATGGCCGACCACGAACTCCGACTCCAGAGATGGCGGCCGCAACCCTGCGAGATGGTCATAGCAGTCCCCGGAGTTGGCGGCCAGAGTCCTTGGCCGTGCGGGCAAAAATTGAAATCCCCCGTTGACCAAACTGGTGTGTGCGAACGGAGAAGCAAGGAAAGAGAGAAAAGAAAGAAAAAGAATAAAAGGAAAAAGGAAAAGAAATCCATGTGGGCTACCACGTGGTCCGCCGCGTGGACTTTTAACCGGGAACCTGAAGCTTACCTGATAAAATGATAAATTGATCGATTTCTAAGAGTTCAGGAGCTCAATTGGGTGTTTTTAGAGTACGAGGGTTTATTCGCCATTTTCACTATAGTACAGGGGCATATTTGATAGTTTTCCCTATTTTCTAATGTTAATTTTCTATTCTATTTCTCAGAACATGCCTTCTGCAAGATTGTTATCAAATATTTTACCTCTAAATCAATCTATCTATCTATATATATATATATATATGCCTAATACATGCATAAGTTAAAATTTGTATGTAAGCATTGCTAATTGCTATACATCAAAGGCTAACTATACAACTAAAGTAATATTTACCCTCACCAGAGACAGAAACAGAGGCAGAGAGCTTCTCTTAGCTGTGGATTTATCTAATTTAACAGTTTAACCATTGTTTAACATTCAATCAAAAGTAGTTCTATATCCTTAACTTGAAACATCTAAAAATCATTCAAACAACAACAACAACATCCAAGCCTTAGTCCCAAAAGATATTGGGGTCGGCTAACATGAATTGATACATGATATCACAACCAAAAGGAAAAGAAGGAATAAAGATAAAAGATAAGCTATTATGAAAAGATAATATGAATAAAATAAAAAGGCTGCAAATAATGCATATATATATAAGGATAAAAAAAAACTAGGAAAAAAAAGATGAGGGAAAAAGATTATCAAGATCATTCCTTCACGTGAATACCCGCCCTCCACTTAGTTCTCTCCAAAGTCATGCCCTCATCCAACCCCAGAAGAAGCATATCACTTCGAACTCCCCTAACCCACGTCTGTTTGGGTCTTCCTCTCCCTCTCTTCCCTGCCTCTTCTCCACACACCTCAACTCGCCTAACAGGTGCATCACTCGGTCTTCTACGCACATGACCAAACCACCGTAGGCGCGACTCCCGCATCTTGTCTTCAATAGGTGCTACTCCCACCCTTTGTCTGATCGTCTCATTCCTCACGTGGTCCTTCCTAGTATGCCCACACATCCAACGCAGCATGCGCATCTCTGCCACACTCATCTTTTGAATGTGTCATTGTTTCACCGCCCAACACTCTATGCCATACAGTAATGCAGGCCTAATTGCTGTCCTATAAAATTTACCCTTCAGTCTAGTCGGCATACCTTGGTCGCATAGAAATCCTGACGCACTCTTCCACTTCATCCACCCTGTTCTGATTCTATGGGATACATCTCCATCTAACTCACCGTCCTTCTGAATTATGGAGCCCAAGTAACGGAACATATCGCTGACTGGTATCTCCTTACCATCCAGAGTAATTCCGCTATTACCACTACTTCTACCTCCACCAAACTTGCACTCCATCTAAAATCATTATAGAAAAATTACTTTTGTTTTTTTTATAAGCTAATAAAATAATAGGTTGACACATCACTCACACATAAGATGATATTTTTCATATTGCAGACTGAGAATGAAAAAGAGGATGAGAAGAGGTAGAAGGATTGAGATGTATTCATTCAGAAAATGTTTGCTAGGTAGTAGTAGGAATAGTAGCTATAGAAAAAGAATGATCTTTTCTGCTGTATATGGTGTTTTTGTTTTTTAATTTTCATTCTTTGTAATAAAAGTCTCCAATGTAGCTGATGTGATTTTTTAGTTAGCATACAATATTCTGTTTAATATTTCTACTTTTGAGGCTTTTATCTGGTGGACTCGCGTGCTGCTATACACCATGGGGATGTTTGGGTGGGATTGCGGGAATGTTGTTCACAAAACATTTTGCTTTTATATAATGATGATGATTGATGATGATAGATGTCATGGTATGGTGGAGCTTCATTAGTGATCCTGTGCAAGTAATTGATTTATAATGTCTTTTACTCTGTGCTTATATAGATTGCTGTATTGGCTATTTGTACTAAACCACTGTAATTAAGGCAATAGTTTGTCCTCCAAGTGTTGGTGATGAATTTCTTGTTGAGAGAACTTGCACTCTAAGTACTACTCTACTTCCTCCACTCTGAAATTATTGACACCTTAGACCTTTAGAACATATTAATGAGCGACAAGGTATTCCTAGAATCAAGATAATATGGTATAGTACAAATATATATACCCTTCATTGATGCAACAATAAAGACATTTGTAGTGATATGGATCACTTGGGGCTTGTTTGGTTCAGGGGTCAGGGAAGGAAGGGAAGATTTCATTTTTATTTTATTAATTTATCTTTATTATCAGTTTTAAACAACAATAACAGTATGATTAGTTAAATCATCTAATATCTTTATTATCAGTTTTATCTTTATATCTATTTTTTATATTCATTATATTTCCAATCATTTAAATGTGGAAATTAATTGAAAAAAATGTCACTCATCCCCTCCCCTCCCCTCCCCTCCAATATCCTCTAACCAAATAATCCCTTAATGATGCACAAGATTTTCTTTAGGAAAATGAGCATTAATTGTGTCTTGATATTTGTAACTCCCACTTATTTGAGATAAACCTATTTTCCTCTAAAGCGAATCTTAGTTAAGTACATAATGTGTTGAGTGTTTGGTGTTTCCAGGTATAGAAAACTCAAAACACAGAAAAAAAGAAGATGGTTAAAGCATATACACAAGAGCACACATTTAAGCATCCTTGGGAAAGAGTAACTGCTGCATCGTGGAGAAAATTTTCGGATCCTGAAAACAAACGTGTCCTATCACACATCCGTGAGGTTGACACTTTAAACCACAAGCTTGTCCCCAGCTCAGGAAAGCTATACACGACTCGTGCTATAACCATCCATACGCCGGGCCCATGGTTCATCTCCAAGATCATTGGTCAGGACATCTGTCACTGTGTTGAATCAACTGTTGTTGATGCTCAAACTCGCACAATGCAGCTTTCCACACGGAATATCAGCCTTGAGAAGTTCATTGACGTGGAGGAGAAGATCCGGTATGACCCTCATCCTGAGAATCCAAATGGGTGGACGATTTGCAGGCAGGAGACTAGCATTAGGATAAAGCCGCTGTCAGTGTTGGCGTCAATGGCAGAGAAGATAGAGCAGAAATGCGTTGAGAGGTTCCAACAGAACAGTGCAAAGGGAAGGGAAGTGATGGAAAGAATGTGCAAGTATCTAGAGACGGAGTCGAGCGGCATTTCTATATGAAAATTGTTTTGGCCATAGTTGTGATTTTTTTCCATTAGCTTTTATGACTGATTATAAAAGCATAGTTCATGCAGGGGAAATCATAGTTAAGTAAGTGCATCACTGTAGAGTCTGTAGTATAACATGGTTTCATGAATTTCAGAAATGAGGGTCTTTTATACCCATTTCTCTTCGGGAAAATTTGAGTTTGCACCCTATTTTATTGTCCAAACTTGTTGAATCAGTGGTGAAACTTGTTATATTGCTTGGGACTCGAGAACATTTGTTTGTTCAATTGTTCATGGTTTTGCAAATTTTTCTGGGAGGATTTCTGAATCCCTCCCTGGACATTGTGACACAAATTTAATTCAAGTTGCAAGTTTGGTTAAAATGGTTCAGTTCTGGTCATGTTACAACCAACGGTTTAGAATCCGCTTCTGGATGGTTCAAAACAGGAATCTAAAACACTAGGCTTAAAAAACAATCAGTTCCGATCCCATTTTGAAGGAATCACAAACAAGCCAGAAAATAACCATTTCGGATCCTAGTTCCTGTACAAGGTCATGTTCGGAACTTCGGATCCTAGAAAATGTTAAATTGTTAAGTAAATCTTATTTTCTTTAGGCTAACTTCAAAATATGAAGGAAAATGAAATACTCCGTATGACCAACTTTTTGAAGTATTTATCTATGATTGGATTAATTACTACGGAGTAATATAGTAGAGTAAATAAATACTGTTTGTAAAAAGGAAGTTGAACACATTTTGAAAATAAACTTGTTGCTTTTTGAAACAATGTTATATTTTTCTTAGAGTTTTTTCTCGATAACATTAATCAATACTTTCTTCGCATTTACTTTCTCTTGCTTCCGTGACTTTCATCATGTCGCAAAGCTTATAGGCTTTACTAGATGTTTTGTAAAAAAGATTATCAAAATGGATCAACAACATGACAAAATCAACATTCGGCTCTTGATCCCAAAAATTTTAGGATCAACTAACATAAATCGATACAGAATAAGATAAGAAGGATAAGAAACTATAAGAAAAAAGAAAAAATGATAATGTAAAGATAAAGATAATTATTCCGTAAAGATAAAATAAAAACGATAAGATAAAAAGCTAGAAACAATGTGTATAAAATTAAAAAGATAAAAAGGATAAAGAATATAAAAAAGATAAAGAAGATGAAATAATAAAAGGGTAAAAAAGATGAAAAGATGTATATATACTTTTTTAAGTTTGTATTCAATTTTAAAATGGAGAGCGTAGGTAGATGGACTCTAAAAAATTTAAAACATTTGGGTATATCTTGATCGTTGTGGATTGACGAATACAATTTGCTACATAGCTTCCATTTTCAAGAATTAACATCCCAATATCCCATACCCTAGTCTTTAATATGGTATGGATAATTTGGTTGGCCCACAGGAAAGAACAAACCTTATTGCAATCTTGATTGTTCTGAACCAATTTGAATCTGTAGCTGTTGAGACTTGGACACATTCAGTTGAGGGACAATGACCTACCACCCTACACATTAATGCACCAAAGGAATCTCAATATACCCAAATGAATTTTACCTTTTCTAGTTTCAATTTTAGCATTTTGCGCATCTGTCACAAGAACCCCTCCCCTTTCTCTTCCTTACCATTTTGCTTTGGCTCAATTGGCCTCAAACTCTTCCCTCTGTTCTCACTTAATGTTTCCCTATAAACTTCTTTAGCTCATTTATCTATTCCCACTAGTATCATCAGGGCATCATTTGCTTCTAAATATAAATACTAAAGCATTTGTCCACTAGTAATATTTTGGACTCCTGTTGAACTTCTACAAAAAGGTTGTACTTTGATTGCGTAATATGTGGAGTTAAAGTGACATTGTATTGAATGTGACAACACTTTCTTGCTAGCCTCTTCAAAATCTCATACCTGTTTCTTTATTACTTGTAAGCAGTAATGCTCTTCACCTGTTCATAGTTTCTTGATTATTAATTAATAATTTATCTTCCAGCAAGGCTCATTCTATATTTCTTTGATCTCATTTAATCAAGCTGGCATGGGATTCCTGAGTTTGCTTCAGATCCCATTAATGCAAAGTCCTCTCTTTTATGAGTAACAGCTTGGATCACCGATTCACTGCCCCCTTTACGTCCAAAGATGGAAGATTATGAAGTAATGGAGCAAATTGGCCGCGGCGCTTTTGGAGCTGCATTTCTTGTTTATCACAAGTCTGAGAAAAAAAGGTAATTTTTTCTCTTCTCCCCATTCTTCTTTATAAACTTAAGTCTATTTCTTGAATATAAAAGATTGCAGCTTTAGTTGACTCCTTTAGTCTCTCGATATGGAGTATGGACAGTCTCTTAAGAAACGGTGGAAATTCTTAATCTGCAGATATGTGTTAAAGAAAATTCGTCTGGCTAAACAGACTGAGAAGTTCAAGATCACAGCACACCAAGAGGTTAAATCTTGCTAAACTAAGGGTCTGTTTGGGATGCTGAGAGTGCTGGGGAAATAAAATTGGAAAGAAAATATAGGAGAAACCTGGAAGGAAAAATTACTGGGATAATAAAACATTGGTTTGAACTCAATAGATTTATTTTAAAATTTATTTGAATTCATTTTGATTTATTCACTTCTATTATATAAACACTGAACAATATAAATAATTTAAAACAATAGTTATGTTTCATTTTCCTTTGCATATTCCAAGGTAGTATTTCTTAGCATTTTCCAGGATCCAAACATAGCGTAAAGAAAGGATGAAAATGAAGGATTGGTTCTGATTGTGGAACATAATTTGCAGATGAGCTTAATTGCAAAGCTTGATAACCCTTACATTGTTGAATACAAGGATGGCTGGGTGGAAAAGGTAGAGAAACTACAAACAAGAAGTATTATCCTTGTAACAACAAACTAATTGATCAGCCGGATTTTTCTATAAAAAACAGGAATCATCTATTTGCATTGTGACTAGTTACTGTGAGGGAGGTGACATGTGAGTGACAAGAATCTCCTTTTTAAAGAAATGTCACATTTTAGAAAATGGTTTCTATTGAATTATATGTACTCAATTGACATGCAGGGCTGGGATGATTAGGAAAGCAAGAGGAGTGTTTTTCTCAGAAGAAGTAAGGAATCTTTATTCATGATCTTCATATGAAAAAAGAATGTTTAATGCAGCAACAAGTGTTCTTTCCATTATAGAGGCTTTGCAAATGGCTCATACAGTTGTCGCTAGCCCTCGACTACCTTCACTCCAATCATGTTCTTCACAGAGATCTCAAAGTAATGTTTGAATTCACTCTCTTCACATAATTTCACACAAAGCGGTTAATGAATGTAGTTCCTATTTTTAACAAAAACTTTTTTGTGCAATTTGTTGCCTACAGTGTTCCAACATTTTTCTTACGAAAGGTGACGACATCAGACTAGGTAAGAATAAGCCGCACATTCACACAGAACTTAAAATGCTCTAAGTAAATATTGGTTTTCTGGCATTCATGGTAATCATGGATATGATCTAATGAGGATGCAATTATGTATCAACAGGTGATTTTGGACTGGCAAAGTTGCTTAACCATGATGATCTAGCATCTTCGGTGACAAAACAATACTTCCCGAGATCTTCTTTTTGAAATTTGCTTATGACTTAAGTGAAACCTGTGTTTACTACAATTCTGAAACTCCTTTATTTAATGATGTAGATGGTGGGAACTCCAAATTACATGTGCCCTGAGCTCCTTGCTGACATACCCTATGGCTACAAGTCTGATATATGGTCTCTAGGTAACCAGACTCTTACCTTACTGATTTATTCTTCTTTCAATAGAATGTATGTAATTACCAGTTTCTGGGATTATAATCTTTAAGAGATCTCAAAGAAACATTAAGCACCCCAACACATTGGAGTATTACTTCATACCTCTTTAGGAAATACACATCCAATCAAATATGTTAAACACACAAATAACCGAATACTTTTAATTCTCCGTATTCATATCAGATATCACCAAACGTCCTAACAGGCTTTTAGATCACGTCTAAACATCAGTATGTCATCACGTCTAAAGCTTTTTACAACACTGGTTATTGTTTTTGAAATGTAACAGGCTGTTGTATGTTTGAGATAGCTGCTCTTCAACCTGCTTTTCGGGCTCCCGTAAGTTTTGTTTGCATAATTGGAGAAGCTGTTGTGGTTTATCCTTTCCAAATGTGTAAAATCAGATTACTTATTCAGTTCTTTTGCTGATCAAATAAACAGGATATGATTGGACTAATTAACAAGGTTAAGAGATCCACCATTTCCCCACTCCCTACTATATATTCCTCGGGATTGTAAGTCAGTGTCCTCTTCTACTCATCATCCCATTCCACAAAGAAACAGAATATATATTGAAATATCTGCAAAATAAAACCACTGGATGTAATGTTTCAGGAGGTGTTTGATCAAAAGCATGCTAAGAAAGAGTCCAACACACAGACCCACGGTTAGTCTTCCGAATCTCAGTTTCTGTTCCATGGGAAGGAAACAGGCCAGCCCCATGCTCCGTATCGGCATGGCCTGCTATGTTTAAGTGTCTGGCCTCAGCTTTCTGTTGATATTATAAAACTCACCACATATAAAGATACAAATTCTCAAACATTTAATTACTCCTTATTAACATTTTAGGATAAAACTCAGTTCATATTAGAGTTCATTAGGCTCAAATGAGCAACTCGGTTTGATTTGCACAAACACACACACACACACAAATCAACATATATCAAGATAGTTAGGTCTATATCAAGATAGGTAGGTCTTCTTAATGGAGCAACCCATTATACTCCAGCAAAATAGAAAGATATAAACTCCAACTTTGGTCTTCTCAAGCAAAAAGAAAAAAATGTTTAGGGTCTGTTTGGTAAAACTGTTTTTATGTGGTAAACATAGGCTGCAGAGCTTGTAAGGCATCCTCATTTACAGCCATACTTGTCTCAATGTCGTAACCTGCGTCTCGGGTCTCTTCCATTAATGCCCAATGACTTGAAGGAGAAAGCGGTAGTGAGAACAAAACGACATCTCAAGCCTATCCACAAAGCAGTGAAGGAAAGACAAGTTAAACACAATATTGCAGTAAAAAAAGATGCAAATGAGGTGAAAGTAATTGCAAAGAAAAGTTGTTCCTCAAATCTTGAAATCAACAAGTCTGACCTGACTGGCTGTACACACCAAATCTCAAAGACTGGTGGAAATTCAAGAACGGGGAGTCAGAAAAAAGGAAGCTTTGATTCCAGAAGCTCAACAGGAAGTACCGTGACTCATCAACACACAGAAGCTGACAAAGAAGATATTCCTCAGCATAAGACAGTGAGTGATGATGTGTCAGCGATGAGCAGGCTGAATTTTCTTAAAGGAATAAAACGGGTCAGTGAGTTGGACAGTGAAAGAGCAGAAGCTCTGGAATCACTTCTTGAACTTTGTGCAGACCTTCTGAAGCACGAAAAGCTGGAAGAGCTGGCAGGCGTGTTGAAACCATTTGGAGAAGATGCTGTTTCATCCAGAGAAACAGCGATTTGGTTGACAAAGGGACTGATGAATCTTCAGAATGAAGACGATCATAGGGAAGCTTAAAAGCTATTGGAGATTTGTTCATTAGTTTATTGTCTACCATGAGAGCATTGGTTGTAGTGTATGTATGTAGTAGTGCTTGTGGTAAATTATCTTGCTTTGCTACTTGTAATCAAAAGTAATTTTTCCAAAAATATTACTCATGAAAGTTGCATGTATAGTAGAATTAATATTGTATACTACAACATATTGGCATGTATAGTAGAAGTTGCTCCTAGTTTTACAGTTTTACCTAGAATCAAAACCAAAGCTGTGTGACTGTGTCGGGTCTTAGATCCCTCGCCCCACCCATTTGGCCACATCAAAGTAAGCTGTTGAGAAGAATCAGTGACATGGCATTATTGTGACTATTGACTCCATCCACAGATCCACTTAATCAGCCCTTCTGGTGCAAAATTATATCCTTGAGTGGATATCATATACCACACTCAAGTTCCTCCCATTGTGGGAAAGTCTAGAGTTCAAGTCACCAACTAGGTAGGTCGAAACTCGAAAGATTAACCCCCAAGCTTGTCCTTGAATGATGGTGTAATTGGTGTTTTGTTTCAACTCAAGTGGTAATATGAAAGTTAGGTTCTTGCCGGGATCCTCACCATGTTGACCAATGAGTGATAATTTTGCCAGGTGTTTTGTTGACAACTAGTCATTTTCATTTTTTCATTTACCCCAGTGCCGCAAAAGCTCCCACCTACGGTGGGGTAAGGGGTCGGATGTACGCATTCTTACCCCTGTACTAAAGCACAGAGAGACTGTTTCTGGATGACCCATAGTGAAAATCGCGTCCAAGATTGCATGGACTGACTGCAGCTCCATAACAAAGAAGCGCAGACAGTTTAGTGAGCCATTTTGCTTTATTCCATCATAATCTCAAGCCAAAAAATAATGAATCTTTGATGACAACTAGTGTATGCACAAAATCAGACGGGAACAATTTCTTCTACGTGATAATGTATAAGAGTTGGAAGCCTAATTGATTCTTCAGGCGACTCATAATTTACTTTTTCGAAGTTCAAGGATGAATTCTTAGGAACTCCAGATTAGTCTAGCAAAACTACAATCAAATGATTAAGGGCACAATATACGATGCAATACCACTAAAAACCCTGTCATGATAGTTGGGGACTACAATCCTCTTAACATTACAAGATGATGCCAAAGAACACTCACTAAAAATGATAAGCTTTATTAAATAGGCACTATGGGGTTTAAACAGCCATAACATTACTGTTCGAAAGTATTTCAATCTCTGGGAAATCTCCAAGATTTTTACAGAATAGATCAGTGCATCAGGAGTTGGAAAGCCTTGTTTCGTGTTTCCACAGCATACTCATAACCCAAACTGCTTGCTCGATGCTTAAATTCTTGCATCTCATTGTCCGCAACTTGAAGGCCAACTAAAACATTTGCACCACTTTCTCCCTTTTTGAATTGTAAATGCAAATATAGAAACATTAGTTCAAAAATAAACTATTGAGCATTTATATCATAAAACTAGAAATGTCAAGTGGTTGTAAATGGGAACCTGTGAACGGTAATGGAACAAACTTATATTCCAACGTGGGCTAAAAGCATTTAGGAATTCAATTAGAGCACCAGGCCTCTCTGGGAAGACAAATCGGCAAAGATGTTCATCTTGTACACTTGATCGACCACCAATCTGAAAGAGATTCAATGGAAAGGTCCCAAAAAAAAGCACTTAATCCCCATGCAGGGAAATAAGTCAACTAACTACATGATTTTGAATCAATCGAGCAGTATGAGTACATGGTTGCTTAATGTATAGTTGTAGTCCTAACATTTTTTATGCATTAAAATATGGCAGGGAAAAAACATCCTGACGATAGTAGAATCAATAAAAATTTGTTGAAACCAATATAATCAAACATGGTGCACTTCCAAATGATTTCAATCAAGGAGACATTACCAAATGGCGCAGATGATCTTTAACAAGGTCATTATCCGTAAGATCAAGTGTGTGAAATTGATGGAGTGTCAACCTTTCCAGCATTGTATCAAGTTCCTTTTTAGTATGAAGACCAACACTGAAATTTCCCAAAAACCCAAATGAATCTTTTTCAAGGCTATTCAAGATAAAGATAAAAAGGCATTAACATACCTATTATGGCCTGTGCACATTAATAATTTACAGAAATCATTTTGTAATATGGCACTTGCCTGTATAGAACCAGAGTTTTCCCTTTTTCAGAATTATATCTGTATCTAAATTCAGTAATGTTCATGGGTCCCATCTGCAAGTGGCAGTCATATGCATCAAACCAAACATAAACCAACTGAATAATATAAGCATAGGTTTACACGGATAAGCAAAAAGAGAAAATCTTTCATATATACTTGATAATACTTCTTTATGATGTTACATCTTCCTTCATTTAATGTCCCTTATTTTGTATTCAATCACAACTTAATAAGATAAATATGTCGGATTAAATCACGATATGCATCATCACATGATAACTCAATTGAGATTTTAATGAAATAGCAATGTGCTTCTCTATCAGAAATGGAGGGCAATCGGGTATGACGTAAAACGGCATGTGATGGTATTTTGGACATCATGCATAAATGGATGGATGTAACTCATCCATCAATTTAATATTCTTCAATTATATACTCACGTTTAAGTCCAAAACCCAAGCTTTTCAATAATTTACTTCAAGTTCTAGGTATATATTTTGTTGTAAAAGCTTTTTTTCAAAGATCTTCTGAATCGTGCAGCACAATTTTGATACACGACTAAAAAAGAACCACGATTTGAAAATGATTGTCACAAAAAGAACTATGTTCAACTCACAAGTTTAACAAATTTCTTGAAACTCCCTGATTCTTCTGGAAGATTGGTTGCAAGGACAGCTTCACGTTGTCTACCAACATCTGCCAGTTCAGTCACCAACCTTAGTCTATCAAAGTTCATGTTGGCCCCACTGGCTATAACAACTATATTATGATCCTTGTGGTTGTAATATTTGCAGTAAGCTTCAGCTCCTGCAAGAGCAAGTGCACCAGCTGGCTCTAAAATGCTCCTTTTCTCCTCAAACATGTCCTATATAGAAGAAAGGGGAAGTACTTACCTAAATAAACCACTCAAAAAGACACTCAAGGTCTGAGGTTAACCTCATGCTTATATTCTAGACTCACACCCAGTACACAATCAATTAGAGATGCTAAATAATATGTCAATTTACACAACTCCAATCTGTAGTGTTGATTTGTGGTCTGCTTAAATCTTAAAAGAGTAAAGACATAAGCATGAAAAGGCATATGGAGTCCAAAAGAGAAAGGCAATGAATAACCTTTATTGAGGCACAAATAGCATCACGGCTAACAAAAATCACGCCATCTATCAATTCTCTGCAGATACGAAAGTTTTCTTCGCCTACAACTTTAACTGCCACACCATCTGCAAAAGATCCTACTTGATCCAACATTATTCTTTGACCGTGATGTAAAGATAACGCCAAAGCATTTGCATCATTTGGTTCAACTCCAATTATTTTCACATCCGGATTCACCATTTTCACATATGCAGCAATGCCTGCAATAAGCCCACCACCGCCAACTGGCACAAGTATTGCATCTATAGGACATTTTGCTTGACTCATGATTTCCTTTCCAACTGTACCCTGCCCCATGATTATATCAGGGTGATCAAAAGGAGGGATAAATGTGAGTCCTTTCTGTTTGGCCAACCATTTTGCATGTGCTTGTGCTTCATCGTATGAGTCCCCTTCAAGAACAACAGTGGCCCCTAATCCCTCTACTGATCTCCACTGCTTGAATAAAAAAAAACCTGCTAGGGTAATAGGTAAAATAACAAATAAAGACTAAATAACGTAATATTTTGAAAGATGAAAATCTAACCTTGATCTCTGGTGTAGTAATAGGCATCACAATTACAGCGCCGCAACCAAGTTTCTGGGCAGATAATGCAACTCCTTGAGCATGATTACCAGCCGATGAACAGATAACTCCACGATCCAGTAACTCCTTTGGGAGTTTGGCCATCATATTATAAGCTCCTCGAAGTTTGAATGAGAAGACCTGGCATTGAGGTCAGGATATAACAGGAAATTACAGAGACTTAAATTTATTCAATGACATTAGCATCTATCCAATTTGTGGAGTAAACAATAGAGGGAGATAGTGGAGAGGAATGTCGTCATAATCAGGGACGGATCCAGGATTTCGAGTCAAAGGGGCGAATTTTTTTTCGTTAGTGTAGAGAGCTGAAATTTTTTTCGCTAGAGCAGCAGGGCGAATTTTTTTCGCTACTGTAGCGTGGCGAATTTTTTCACTCGTGTAGGACATTGCAGTTATTTTTTCCCCAAAAAACAATTCATTAATACATACACGACGGCGACATTTAAATCTATTACATTCTAAATTTAGACAATGGAAAAATAAATTTGATTTTATAATTGAAGTGCTCTAGAGGAAAGTATTGATACATTAAAGCATAAGAAACGGCAAAACAAAGGAAAATTATTTGAAAATACAAAAAATGATAACTAACATTTTATCCAATTATTTGAAGATAAAGAGTTCAAAAGGCACACATCCACCAAAACATTTTAAATAACTTCTACGTTGTTTAACCACATGAATCTTATCAAAATAAAAAATTGGTTTTTGAATTGCAATTTTTGTCTACCAATGAGGGTGTTCATGAGTCACGATGAGTTTTCTTAATATTACACTACTATGTATGAAATTATTATTTTTAAAACAATATTATATAGCTAATTCATATATATGGTGCATATTATATTTGTATTAATGCTAAAATAAGTAAGTTTATTATCTATACAATAAATTGTTTTTAGAAAGTAAGAAGTAAATGAATTGTGTAATTTAATGTCAACAAACACTTATATTTTCGTTTCACTTCACATGATCTAAAAATTGTTTAGCTAGTGTGTCTGGTATTTAATATCGTTTGATACTTTACAAAATCGAGTACTAATTATCTAATAAAGATAATTAAACATTATAAAACTAGAAATTTTTATATGATAAGTATCTCAAGTCTTAAACAATGAGTTGTTCTATTGTTTATTTGTTTAAGTTATATAAATTATATGTTTCTTCTTTTAAATCTCCAATTGAACATTACATTTAGTAAGACCATATTTTAATTTTGAAAATTAAAACCAAAGGGGGCGAACCCATATATGTATAATTAAAGTAAGAACTTTTTATGAGAATATTACACATGTAGTATAAAAACCAGTCCAAGGGCTAACGGAAGAGTGAAGAGGAAATTAATTAAAAGGGACATACAGGTTGAAGATCCTCCCTCTTGAGCCAGATGTTGTTCCCCAGCTTCTGCGTGAGCTTCGAGGCTAGCTGCAACGGCGACTCAACAGCTACATCGTAAACCTTAGAAGACAAAATCCCAGTCAAATACTCGATACCACTGTAGCAATGATCGTCATTCCCGTCGGGAGAAGATAGATTCGGTATAACACATCCCGGCTCAGAAGTCAACGAGCTTGGAGAAACTAATAGCAATTCAGCAAGCGGCGCAGGCCTTAACTGCTTCTCCGTGGATGTGGATGCAGCGGACATAACCTCCGTCGCCGCCGCCCTAGAGAGCGCAGCGCAAATTGAGGCTCGGAGAGTTGTTCTCCTTGCATCTGCGGATTTGAAGGTGTAAGTGGAAGTAATGGCGGTGGCCGGAGGCAGCAGCAGCAGGTGTTTGCCATCGAAATGGGGCGATTGTGTCTGAGTAAAGCGAACAACGTCCATTCGGTAGCAGGTTTTATTTCGCCTTTCATCGGGTGCACATTACTGCATTTATTTATGTATAGAGTCATCAAGAATTTGACTATAATTGTGTTTTAAATTTAAGTCATAACCATTACATAATGCTACGTCCGTCCCTAAATGTTTTTCTTACTTTCCCAAAACGGATGTTCCAAAATGTTTATTATACTTTTTCAAGTTACTTATTTGGTAAACAAATCTATACGAAACAGTGCAAAACAGCGTCAAACAATGTCGCTACAGTGTTAAACAGTATCGCTATAGTGTAAAGTCAAATTCATTTCTTCAAAACTTGTGAAGTCAAAGTAGGACAAACATTAAGGGACAGAGGGAGTAGTAATTTTGAACATAATTATAAGTGTTAAAAGTTATCAAATTATATTTTGTCCATCACTTTTTTAAAAATAATTGTAGTGAAATTTTTTCTATTATATATAATTCGCACCAACCAAAATATCAATTGTTTTTGTATACCAAATATAGTCCAATATAATTATTTATTTATAGAACAGAAATTTATTGTTAATTTTCAAATATCGTTTTAGTCTGCCAAATATAGTACTTTTTTAAATCTATGAAAATGATTATTTTTCATTTCCCTGATTTGTATACAGTTTTATTTTCTTCCATATATAGCTACTTACAAAAAATAAAGTTGCTTATATAACTTTGCTCTAAATTTTCTTTATCAATTTTTAATAACTTTCTTTAAAACTAGAAATAATGAGATCAAAATAAAAGTAGAGGACACAAAAAAGACTTTTTAAAAACTAATGACTATGACCTGCGGCCTTTCCCTCAGGTAGGGTTTTGTTTTTCGCCAATCATTTTATACTTGTACGGTCAAAGAATTCCAGTCGTTCTTTACCGTCCTCCGATCTAAGCTTTATGCGACTAGGGGATTTCAGCCTCGCGCATCGCGCAGGCTTTGTTTTCGTTCGCAGGTTCGTCTTCAACTGCTCAACACAACAAGAAGATATCTTGAAGGTCATTGTTAACCAGTACGACACTTGGCTACACGGTGGCTTCTCCTGCACTTTTGATTGCTCAATAGCAGAGAATGTTATGAATAAGAAAAAATGAGAGGAAGAAGATGCACTATTGCCAGTCTGTCCCCCTCCCGAACCGCCACCGTGGAGGAATCGTGTGACTAGGATTTGGAAGATGTTGTTTCAAGTTTGGATTTATTTTAATTATCTTACTCTTATTTTTATTTTTCGGTTCGAACTGAATGTTGTTTTAGTTGTTTTCTTTATTTCTACATGCAGAACTCTAGAGTTTAGGTTGCGTGATGAAAGGTCTATTGTACATCATTATAGGATCATCGAGTCATATTGCTTTTTTGGAGGTGATGGACTCTGAGTCTGCTTCGAGGGCAGACGGTCGGAAAGAGACTTTTTGTGTTTTTGTATCTTGCTTGAATTCTGATTATTCAATATAAGCCATTTTATTCCAAAAAAACTAATGACTATGATAGTAAGTTTAATGATCATAATTGTGTTCAAGTTTACACTATATTCATTATGCATAGTAACTCTAGTAATACTTTTGTGAGTTTTGTCCATAAATTATATTTCACTAATATTTAAAGAAGACCTCTTAAACTATCAATGGAATTAAAACTGTTGGGTGTGTTCTCGAAAAACAAAGAAAATGAATTAATTAAAATAGCCAAAGAAAAACCAGAAAAGAAATGGAACAGAAAATAGTCAAAGCTTATGCAGCCCACAATGTCCTTAAAACGTATTCGTTGCTTCACACGGTGCTAGGGGTGTTGCAACAATCGTTTCTCATGATACGATGATTACGAACAATCGTTGAGCACACAACAGATTGTTCCGGCGAACGGAAACAAGAATTGAACACTTAGGAATTTTTCAGAGATAACTGGAGGTGTTTTTAGCTCTAAAACGACGTGAGGAATGTGTATGAACGTGTAAGTTTGTGTGTTGTTGCAAAGCACCAGCCAGCTTACTTATAGGAAGGATTTGTTGTGTGTTAAGTGTGCCTTAATGGACCTGAACGTTCGACATCAATGAGCAGAACGTTGGCCATTAATACGTCCAAAAAACTATCCGTTTAAGGTGCATTAAAGGAGAAGAACGTTGGGCAATAACTGTTGTAACGTTTCAGAAGCGAATCGGAAGAGTTTTGTCTGAAGCCTTATGATTCAGAACAGAAGTGTTCTGATCCGAAGCCTTCTGATGCGAAGTAGAAGGGTTCTGGTCCGAGCAGTTCTGATGCGGAGAAAAAAGGAACGTTACGGGAAGAAACAAAAATTAATCGTATCTTGAAAAATACGATTTTCAAACGACATTCGTGTTCGCAAGTCACGATTTTTCTCCTCCGTTTTCGGGATTCGATTGGCACCCTCCTGCGCACAAAGAGAGTCTTTCCACCTAAGAATCTTTACTCCTTCAAAGGGGTTCACTTTATAAGGGGTTGAAAATCCCTTGGGGTTTTCGGTGTGGGAGATATCACACTAGAAACTCGTGTTCGCCCTCCCCCGTCCTTTATATAGTGGGCCCCGCTAAGGGGTATTTTGGGGATTTCACGTAGTGGGTGTACGAACCCGTCCCACGTGTCTTTAATTGAGTAGGATTCGGATTGAATAGTGAATAATTGACTTGGAAAGAATGTATAAGGTGCGGGATACTGTTTGAGACATAAATGTGATGTGGCGCCACTGTTCACTAGCGGAGGGTCCCGTTAAACCCAGCCACACAAAATGCACTAGCATTTAAACTACCAACTTACCATATTAAAGGTTGTAGGGAATGTTTGAGACATTAACAATTTCGTCTCACAAATCGGAAGCGAGATGGAATTAACTCTGGAAAATACCAGCTTCACCGGAAAAGCTAGTATTTTACTTCGGGACATATCACTCTCGTGTTGCAATAACAGTGTTGCATTTATAGCATGATATAATGCTCTGCAGGCGGAACTTGATCGGTTGTCTGAAGCATTGTTGCACGTGTCCGCTGAGAGTGTCAACCCGGAGGAAAAATCAGCATCCTCCGGCGACAGTGCCGGACATAGTAATTTGTAATAAATATAGTAAAAAATATTGTGATGATTCCATTGTATATTGTAATAATTCATGTACAACTTAATGAATAATATGTATTTATTTAATAAATTTGAAACTGAATATTTTGTGCTTGTTCTACATCAATGATGTAACGCTGAAACATGTCTACAAAATACTGAACACCCTTAATTACATTATTAATGTTAAAAACTCCTAGATTGTCTAAATACTGTGATGGACAGTGTACCCGGGGGGTAGCTTATCCGAGGGGTTGTTACGGGGAGTAATAAGAGAGAAGTCAGAGCAAGTAAATATAGAGAGAGAAAGTATATTATAAAGTGTGGAGCGTTTTCAGCGTCGTTACAAATGGGGAAAAGGGGTGCTACTTATAGTAGCAATAAATGCCGTACAGGGACACGTGTCAAGCGTCCATTGGCCGAGAGGTCACCTCAACTAGTTGGCGCTGGCAGCCGCATGTGGCCGCATTTAATGCGGCTGTTGGATGGGACGTTGTACTGGGTACGGTGATCTGTATGTGCGTGGAGAGGAGATCTTGTCGAGTGAGGTGCCTTCGGCTATAGAGCAGTAGCCGAGGGCTCCTCAAACCGAGGGCACCCTGGTGCCGAGGGCTCCTGGTGCCGAGGGCTACTGTTTTCGCCATTTTCTCCCAGTTTCTTAGTTTGCTTGAGAAACCCGTTCTGTGAGAGTTTAGAGCCTTCGGCCAGGGGGTCGAAGGCACCCCTGGTGCGCATTGTGGGCTGCTTGGTACTCCGGGCGCCGTGATTTGGGCCTGTTGGGCCTTCTGGGCCTGTTGGGCCTTTACTGGAGTAGTAGGAGTCTGTGGGCCGGGGGTTCCCGGGCCATATACTCCATCAGGAGTCCCTCACTCCTTTTGCCGAAAGGTACTTGAGGGAAAAGGAGTAATTTGTGCTTGCCCTTTGATGTTGTCCCGTCGTAATCTCTGAAGTTGGTGAGGAGTTGTTGCTTTCATGTCCCTGCCGAAGGCACCCTCAGTTACCCACATGTCGGGACTTGAGGGATTGTTTTGCCGTTTGTTGGATTTTTTGACATTTTTGTTTGACATTTTTGTAATTTTGTGATTTCCTGAAGGGGTTCCCCAGTCCCCCACTCCTTGAGGCACTTGTAAAGTGGTGAAAAGGAGTAAAGTAGTTGCGTTGCTGTTGTGGGCCGAAGGCTGACGCTTTTCATTTCATTTTAGGGGGATGCCTCGTTAAAAACCTCATTAGGAAAAACCCTGTGGGAAAAAATCCTAATGAGGGAAAAAGAGTGCACCGAATTCCCCCAACGATGAATCGAAAATGTGAAACCTTGGTTTAAAAATGGAGAAAAATGGTAATGCCGAAGGCTCCCCTTGTTCTGAGGGCTCATGTGTTGATTAGTCGGAGGCTTTGTTGTTGATGTCCTGGGGGCGCCGAAGGGGAGTCCCTCAATATGGGGATCGAGGGCGTAATGAATGTGGGTAGCAGTCGAGTTGTTACCGGGGGGGTCCCCTATTTGTTGATTAGTTGGTGATGAAGATACCCGAGGGCTCCCATTACCTGTGTGCTGTAGGCTATCCGTCAATGAGGTATACTCCCCGGGGGCTAACCGGCCCTTACAGTGCTGAGGGGGAATCCCCGAGGGGT